AGGCTTGCTGGAGGCTTGCTGGAGGCTTGCTGGAGGCTTGCTGGAGGCTTGCTGGAGGCTTGCTGGAGGCTTGCTGGAGGCTTGCTGGAGGCTTGCTGGAGGCTTGCTGGAGGCTTGCTGGAGGCTTGCTGGAGGCTTGCTGGAGGCTTGCTGGAGGCTTGCTGGAGGCTTGCTGGAGGCTTGCTGGAGGCTTGCTGGAGGCTTGCTGGAGGCTTGCTGGAGGCTTGCTGGAGGCTTGCTGGAGGCTTGCTGGAGGCTTGCTGGAGGCTTGCTGGAGGCTTGCTGGAGGCTTGCTGGAGGCTTGCTGGAGGCTTGCTGGAGGCTTGCTGGAGGCTTGCTGGAGGCCTGCTGGAGGCTGGGGGTGGCGATGGAGGGGATGCTCCTGCCGGCCCGGCCCGGCCCGCCGCCTTCAGGACCGCCATCGCTCTTTGTCTCGCGATAAAACAAGGGCTCCCTGGAATCACAGCAGAGAGAGCCAACTTTTCTCCGGAGTGGGAGGCAGGGCCGGGCAGGGCCGTGCAGGGCTGCCAGCAAGCCAACTCGCTGGGCCAGGGCGGCAGGGCCGGGCCGTGGAGCACGGCGTAGGGAGCCCGGTCGCGAACGCCAGCGCGGCCAGCACGGCCAGCTCGCCGGCCGCAGCCGGGACAACGAAATTCGCAGTGACGCGGAGCGCTTTCGCTGATTAGCCAAGTGTGGCCGGCCCCTCTCTGCGCTCCGCCCGCCCCGCCAACTTGAGACGACTTGGCCGAGTTTCTTCCCGAACCCCAACTGTGACTCACTGTGACTGGCCGCTGGGCCGCTGGCTTCGGCGTCAAGGCGACCTGGCGGTCGACGCCGTGGTCGCGGGGCGCGCGGGCGTGCGGTTGCCGGCGGCTGCGGTGCGGGTATGGAGGGTGCTGCGGTCGGTCAAGCGGCCGTCGACGCCAGGGAGAGTTCGGGGTCCGTCGGGGTCCGTCGGGGTCCCTCCTTCGGGTAGCCGCGCAGCCTGTCCTCGCCCTCCACGCCCTGTGCGTCCTGTGACGGGCGGGCGTGCCCGGCCAGGCCGACCGGAGTTTGGGAGGAAATTTGATTTCATCTCGGAGTTGTATCCCATAGCGCCACCCCAGCCTGGGGCACCAGCCGCGCGCCCCGCCCCGCTCCGCCACGCCTCGCTCCCACAGAACGCTAACAGACTTACTTACCCGTCGCGCGAACGCCATCTGACGCGAGCCCCTCGCGCCCCCCGAGAAGAGCAAAAGGAGAGATCCCTCCCCCTTTCCCCCTGGCGGAGTGCGACCTTTTCGCCTCTGCCTCGAGTACACTGTTAACGTCGCTACCCCGCGCTTGCAGCTTCCCGCTTCCGCCTCGCGGATACCCCGCTCTTCAGGGTCACGTCCCCGCCCGCGGAGGGAAATAAAAATCGGGCCGCAGGAGGAGAAGGAAGTCTGTGTTGATTAATGGGCTACTTCCCTAAGTCGCGGCAAACAGATCTCTTTAGCCGCTTTCGCTGCCCTGCAGTCTGATTCCGAGAGTCGTTCCCGTCGCGGTGTCTCCCTCGCACTCATGCGGCGTCCCGTATAGGTGCGAGAGAGACAGAACGACGAGACCGACTCTCGGAATCCGTCTGCTGGCGCGCCTTAGCCTCGGCCTCCACCTCGGCACTCCTCTCCTCGCTGCCCCCCGCGATGGTGATTGATGATCGGCCGAAATTTGGTGAAACAACTCGGAGACGAGGCGGACGCACAGTGGGCCAGAAGACCGTCGGAGGCGGTCAAAAGCCCGGGCGCATTTTGAGCTCCAGAGTCGCTAAATGGGACTCGAACCGAACGTGTGACCCCACCAATGGATTGCTCTCCAGACGGGGACTTCATTAGTGGGGTCACACGCCCAGTTTGACTCCCGTTCAGCGCTTCTGGAGCTCAAAACGCGCCTGGAATTTTGGCCGCCTCCACCGGTCTTCTGGCCCACTGTGGGACGGGGCGGCCGGGGCGGCAGTGGGGCAAACAGCGCCGAAAAGGGCCGAACGCGCTTCACCCTTCATAAATCTCGCAAGCGGCGGAGCAGCGAAGCAGCGAAGCGGCCTCGATCAAGATGAAGATGGTGTTAGTCGCGTCATTTTTTTTCTTTCTTTTTTTTCCTACGTAACTTTGCCGGCCTGGCCGGGCATTAGAAAGAGCGAGGCTGACGCGGCTTCCGTTTGCAGTGGAGGACTGCTTGACGTGAGTCGAGTCGCGGCGTCGGCAGGCGTCGGCAGGGCGTCGGCAGGGCGTCGGCAGGGCGTCGGCAGGGCGTCGGCAGGCGGCAGGGCGTCGGCAGGGCGCGGCGGGTCAGGGACCCCAGGGCTGGGCGGAACCTCCCCGCGGAGCGGAACGGCCGCTCTGTCTCTCTCGCACTCATCGCTCATAGGGCGTTCCGCAGGGGTGCGAGAGAGACAGAGCGACGTTGCGTTTCTACGGAGCGCCTGCTGGGTAGGCAACCATTCGGTTCGTGGAGCAGTCCTGCGGGAGGGTTGCCTACCCAGCAGGCGTTCTCCGGCCGCAGCGCGGCCAAGAATAGAAGGGAAATTTATCCTGTTTTGGCGGGTATTCGAACGACGCGCCGCTGGTGCGATCCGGCTGGAGGCTGCTGGAGGCAGCGTGCGTGTTCGTTTCTCGCTGCGCGTCGCCTCCAATTGATGGAACGGCCCGCTTCCCGCCGAACCGCCTCTCCCCCTGCGCGGCCTGCTCCGCGCTCCGCATTCTCGCCGAGGCCGGCGTCAGCCGCCGCCAGCCGCCGCGCACCGAGACCAACCGGCTCCCAGCAACGGCCAACGAGAGCGCCGCGCTGCACGGCCACGACGCCGAGCCCCACGCCCCCGCGCCCCGCGGGCCGAGAGACGGAAACGACACGCCGCGCGGCCTTAACAACCTCGGCGTCGTTGTCGTGCCCCAGCGCACAGCGCCGCACCGCGCCGCACCGCGCACCGGCACGGCGTCGTCGAGGTGGTCGTTACAACGAGGCGACGCGACGCGGAGGCAGTGGTGCGGCGATGAAAGCCTCTGTGTAGGGCTGCCGCGCCGCGGCGGGCGGGGCGAACAGCCCCGAGTGGGCGGCCGGGCAGCACCCCACCGGGGCCACCGGGGCCACCGGGACCCACCGCGCCCACCGGGGCACCGGGCCACCCCAGAGGCTGGGCCAGGCCCAGGCCGCGGCGCGCCGCACTGTAAGGGGGAGAATGGAACCGTGCCGAGGACGGGGTGCTGGCCCTGCTGGCCCTGCTGGCCCTGCTGGCCGAGGCCGAGGCCGAGGGGTGGCCGATCTGGATCAGCCAGGCCGGCCTTCATCTCGTGGGCCAGTCCGCCGCCACAAGCTGGACCGCCACGTTTTATGGCAGATCGCCGAGCCATCCTCGTTCAAAGGGCCCGGGTTCGAATCCAGTCTGGTGTGCCCTTCCAATTTAATGCAAACAAGTGCCGCTCGTGGCGGTCGCTGCGCCGCATGCTGCGCCGCTACACTGTGCCCATCATGCTGGAGTACCAAGGGCGGGCAACTTTGCGCGCGCTCACTCACACACGCGCACACCCACACACACAGGGCCGCCACAGAAGGCCGGAGGGCCCTACTGGAGCGGGGCCCCGTTTGGATTCCTACTTGTTTCGGTTCGTTGGCCCCGGGGGCCTCCGGGCCCCTCCCAGCGGGGCCCTGTGAGGCCCTCCTGGGCCCCGTCGAGTCCCGCACAGTCCTCCACAGGAGGCGGCCGGCCTGCCAGTGCCTGCCAGTGTGCCTGCCAGTCTGCCGGCGTGGCGACAAAGCCTTCGCGGACGCAGTCGGAAAGGCTCGCTTATTCTGCTCAATGGATATGCACGCTGTGCCTCGTGCTCGCTTGCCTGGCTTGGCTTGCTTCGCTGTGCGCGTTGCGCGCCGTGCCGCCGCCCCAGTCCGCCCGAGTCTTCCACTCGAGAGGACTTTGATGGCTTTCCGCCAGGCTCCCCCCACTACACTGGCAGGGCCGGGGGCGGCCGGGGGAGGGCGGGCAGCGGAAGGAGATAAGAAAAACGAAGATCCGCGGCGGCCGTGGGCTTCTGGCTTCGACTGTACCATCATAATTAGCATTAACTCCGATTACCCTCTCCGGACTTTCGGGGCGGGCGAGTAATCGAATCACGCCATCTTCGATTCGACTAATCGATAAGGCGTTTCGGGCGGCTTTCTCGAGGGCGGCCGTCCTGGGTGTCGCGGCGTCGCGGTGAGGCGAGCACCGTGTGGAGGCCCTTGTCTTCGGGGCGAAAGCGTTTGGGAGGCGAAATGAAGACAGATCGCTCAAACAGCACACTGCCCCCGCGGTGGCGGTCCACGTCGAGGCCCTCGTCGTGGTGCAGGCCTTCCAGGCCCGGGGCGGCGCGGGGTAGCGCCCTACAGGGTAGGCTCGACGTGGAACGGGACCGTTCGGCGGCCGTTCGCAATAAATTGCCGCAGAGTGGAATTTGTGGCGCCCCGCCTGACGCGACACCGCCTCGCCACCCTCTTTCTACTTTCTACTAGAAAGTAAATACCCCGCCAAAACAAAAAGGAGGAAAAAGGCAGCGACAGGCAAACACCGTGCGAACGGGTAAACAAACAGACAGTGCCTCTGCGGGGCGCAACGCGCGGCGCGCAGCGTGGAGCCTCCAATCGGATCCGCCGTCCCGCCCGCCTCGCGAGCGCGGAGCCGCCAAGCCGCCAACACGGCATTTCCATCTCGTCACCGATCCGTACTCCTCGACGTCGGCTGCCGAGTCCCGCGGCTTCCCGCCTCCCCTCTTTCCCGCTTTCTTTCCAGCGGCGCTGTAATTGGTCCACCTCGTCCGGAGCGGAGAGCGTTGTCAAAAGTTGGGATTAAAACGCTGTGTCAATACCCCGCGCCTTTCGTCGCGCTGCCGCCGCGCTGCCGCGCGGAAGGCTTCTGGGGCGGGGAGTAGCGACGCGTCTGGCGTCTGCGCCACGCTCCCTCCACCCCCACCCCTCCCCTCCGATGTCGCTTGTCACTTGTTATGTTGGCGAACGTGTTTTGTCTTGTCCTGCGAAAAGCGCGGCGTCCCTGTCGTCGTTGCAGCGTCTCAGTTATCGTGTTTGGATAAATTTGAATTTGAGAAGAGTTTTCCACAATCAGTGTCGTTTTAGCGCTATTTATTGAATCACGAAGTGTCCATTGTGGGCGAAAATCAAGTCTGCCATTTATCAAGAGTGTTGATTGTGTTGGCGGTTGGTTGTGTGCCGAGGTCTCAACGGCCACAAGTTTTAGTTTTATCGCAGCTTTGTCTCATCATGTCATTCGATCACGGCGCCGCATTGCCGGCCGAGGCTGCTGGACAACGTGAGGCCGAACCGCATCAGTTTCCTCAGCTTTTGCATCACTTCAATATGCCCCCTCCTTTTCTTGATTACGCCATGGTGAGTCACCTTCGATTGTGATCCGTATCTTTGGAACCCTACTTTGGAACTTTATTCAAGTTTTGTAAACTGCTGTTCAGTTGTTCTTAGTCTCTTAAATTATTAAGTATTTTGAGTTGACATTGCCATTTAAAATGCCAGTCTGGTTGTCCGAAGTTGAAGTCTAACGGGTTATACTTACTTTTACTATCTTCATGGGCTTTGTTCGTCCAAGCAGCTGAAATTGTTCAATTGCCAGTGCTGCTCAGACTTTAAGCCTAGCTATTGGTTCTATCCTCCAATTTGTTATTGCCGATCTTATTTCATAATTTTTTCTGTTGGTGCCGCAATCTGATGCACTCATTGCCACCCATCTCCCAAACTATTTTCTGGTTTAGTATCAGAGCAAGATAATGTTTCACACTGATTAGTTTGGATTAGTTTAGCCAGCATTAGATTTTTCCACGGGAATGGAGAAGCATTTTGAAACCGTTGTCCTATGCCTGCGACACAGTTCCGTTCTCTTTTTTTGTGTTGTGCGCGCAGGCCTTTGCCAGACCGTACTGTGCCTTGGCCTGCCTGCCCTTGTCCCTGTGGGGACATGAAGGTGTCACTTGGCGCGGGCCGCTCTGCACAGTGCACTAGCGCCGTGTGGGAGTGTGCAGAGCCATGGGGGCGTGGGGGCAGGCCGGCCATTTTCACCTGTTTATTATGCTTTCAGAGAGGGGGATGAGGAGGCTATGAATTTTGTTGCTATTCCTCCCACTCTTTCCGCACTAGCCCCCACCTGCTCGCCTGGCCGCCCTCTCTGCCGTGCAGCGTGCAGCGTGCAGGACAGGGACCCGTTTTCCAGCTCATAATTTATGGACGCCCCCAACAAGAACACCCTCCTTATTGAGGCTCGCTGGACCTCTCCGCTCGGGGAGGCCTTGGGAGGGGGCCCTGCCCGGCCCGGCCCGGCCCGGCCCGGCCCGCCCCTGTAAACACGGGGTGCGTTTTGAAAAGGCGGAAGTTTGCTCCCTGGAATTGACCATTTAACCGCGTCAAAGGTCGCCCTACCCTTGGAGGCCCTGGAGCGGCGGTTGGGTCCGGGGTCCCCGACGACGCTGGCGGCAGGGGGACGCCGAGGACGCCGTCGTCGCGTCGCTCTGCCTCGCTCTGCTTGGCTCTGCTTGGCTATCCGCCTCGCCAGCCACGGGGTTGATGAGCGTCGTGTTGACTCTGGCCTCGTGTTTTTTTCCGCCCCTCTCTCTCTCACTCTCTCCCCCCTGCTTCCAACCTCGGCCGGCCCTTCTTAAGGCGCGCTTGTTAAACTCGCAACGACTCCGGCGTTTCGTCCCCCCTGCCGCGCTGATGTCCTGCTCTTGGAGGGAGAGCATGATACACTCGTCCGGTTTTCGAAACTCACTGTTGTTGTGTTGTCTGTTCCAGGTGAGTGGATTCGAATTGGAGGCGAGTGCGTTGTTGACAAGGTGAGCGCAGACCCACAGCGACTCGCGCCGAGGCCCTGGCTGGTCCTGGCTGGTGCTGGCATCGTCCGGCTCAGCTGGTACTACGCATGTACTCGCCAGGTGTCGTACCCCCGCGACTCGCGCCAAAACAGGCAGCTGCCCGACCCGAAATGTTTGGCCACTGTTCTCCGCGCCCGCGGGCGCGTTTTGGCGTACGAGGGATACGGAGTGGCGTTCGCAGCCCGCAGGCCGGCACGCAGCCGGCACGCGCGCGGCACGCGCGGCCGCAGCGCGTGCACGCACACGCACGCCAGGCCGCAGGCCCGCACGCGCCGCGCGCCAGCAGCGCCAGCGCCCGCCCGACCGTCTGGCCGCCGCACGCGGCCCGCGGGCGCGCACGAGCGCGAGCAGGCGCAGGCGAACGGCCGCAGCGCGGCACGCAGCGCGGCACGCAGCGCGGGACGCAGCGCGGCACGCAGCGCGGCACGCAGCGCGGCACGCAGCGCGGCACGCAGCGCGGCACGCAGCGCGGCACGCAGCGCGGCGCAGCGCGCACGCAGCGCGGCACGCAGCGCGGCACGCAGCGCGTCACGCAGCGCGGGACCGCCTAGCGCGGACGCAGCGCGGCCGCAGCGGCGGACGCCCGGCCGGGCCGCGCGCGGCACGCGCCGGACGCACGCGGCACGCTCTCTCGCACCGCACGCGGACGCACCGGCCGAGGCGAGGGGACAGAGCCACGCTTAGGCCTGTCTGAGCCGCTGCGAGACACGATCTGGCACGTCGCGTGCGGCGCACGCTGGCAGAGGCGGAGCAGGGCGGCGCGCTGTCATCACGTTATCTGAGTCTATGCGCGTGGCAGGCGGCAGGGCGGCCGTTCATTTATACGCGCATCGCCGTTCGCAAGTGCTGATCAAGACTCCGATCGGCCCGAAGCCGGCGATCCAGGAAGTCCTCCAGGACCTTCTCCAGCGACTTTGCACGGACGGCGCTCTTGCAGGGGGTATTGCCAGGCGGGTTAGGTCGCTTTTCTTCCGACCCTCGCGCTGTCTCTCTCGCACCCCAGGGGACGCCCCATGCGAGTGCGAGAGAGACGGCGTTGCCAAGGCGACGAGGCTCCTGCCTGGAGGCGGGTCTGCGAGACAATCTGGACGTAAATCGCAGTGGCGTGGCGCCGCGTGGCGCCGTGCCTAGAGGCGCGTTTCCCACGCCGCACTTAAAGTCCCTCCCCTTCCCGGTCGCCGCGGTCCGCTTTGCGCGCTGCGGTCCATTGCATGGCGGCGGGGGCGGGGATTGCCTGCACTCTTCGCGAGGCCCCAGCCGGCCCCAGCAGCGAGGCGTCGTGAATACCTGAGTCAGCTCAAGGAGGGCCTCGCTTCGCTGCAAGCGAATCCGGGACCGATTGCCGTGTGAGTGAGCAGAGAGCAGAGCGAGTCGGTGCGAAAATTGAGCTGTTGCCGCTCGGCAGGGCCCGGCAGGGCGGCCGCCTCTCCGTCTCTCTCGCACTCACGGGGCGCTCCGGAGGGGTGTGAGAGAGACAGAGCAGCCCGCTGCACTGCTGGGACGCCGTCGGCGCGTCCGTGCGTGCGATCGTGTTGCTGGGATTCGAGGATCCCGGGGCTCGCTTTGCTCACGCTTTGCCGCTGTGGTGCTTTGCACAGGTCGGCCCGGAATCGAAGTGTTACCGCCCCGTCCTCCCCCCTCCCTTTCGACTGTCCTTTCCTCCCTGTCCACGGAAGCCGCTAACTGTCGGTGGAACGGCCGCCGCTCCGCTCAGCCATCCAAATTAGTTGCAAATGGCGGCGCCGCGTTGGTGCTGTGTTCTTTTGTGCTCTTTCGGTGTTGTGTTTAGTCCGGTTTAGACCTCCCTCCCCTCTTTGTCTCTCCGCTTTGTCTCTCTTTATCGCGGCACTCCGACCCGTCACGGCCGCCACGGCGACCCGTCAGCCGACCCGTCGGGGGAGGCACTCATTACGACCGGCCCTATCTTCGCCTCAGGGCAGGTGTCCTGCGCCGCGTGCATCCCTGCTAGCGCTCCAAGCCCTCCATCAATCCCCACGCACAGTGGGCCAGAAGACCGGTGGAGGCGGACAAAAATCAAAACGCGTCCGGGGTTTCAGCCGCCTCCGCCGGTCTTCTGGCCCACTGTGCGGTGCCACGCCGCCCCAACTTTCATTCGCTCTCCACTTGTTCCCGCTTTCCACTTTTCCACTGGCCCCCCTGCTAGCGCCTGCCGAGTAGGCAATGCGCCCGCACTCGTGTCTCCGTGTTGCCTACCTCGCAGGCGCCCCGCCGCGCCGCCGCCTTCACCGCCAGGCTCCACCAGGCTCCGGCCGCACTTCAAGGAAGACTGACTCCAAGAGTCCTTTCCCGCCGCAGCCGTCCGCACAGGTGCGAGAGAGACAGAGCAACGACTCCCGAAATGGTGCGGCTTCGCAAGCCTTGCAAGCTTTGCAAACCGCAGCGACGGCAGCGCCGAGTGCGAGAGAGACGGCTGCTGCGAGGCAGGTGGCGCCAATTGAAGGGCGGATTGTCGCGTAATGACGAGCTGGGCGTGGACACAGTGTGGGCGCGGGTCAACCCCGGACGAAGCCAAAGGGAAACAGAGGGAGAGGGGGGGGGAGAGAGAGAGAGAGAGAGAGAGAGAGAGAGAGAGAGAGAGAGAGAGAGAGAGAGAGAGAGAGAGAGAGAGAGAGACCGCAAGCTGATTGGACGCCGCACATCCTGCCACAGAATTTAATAAACAAGCGGGATGGAGGGGAGCGCCTCTCTCGCGGCACATTTTGCACGCATTGGTGTAGCCGTGGTGTAACCGGGGCGGGAATTTATAACCGGAGTGCCCCCCCCCCCCCCCCCCCCAATGTCCTCTGTCCCCCGCCGCCGGCCCCCTGGCCCCCCGGCCGACAGGGTGGATATCTGTGTTTTCCGCGTGCGGGGTGGGCGTGGCGTGGCGTGGCCGGGTGCAAGTTCGCAACGACACGGCACTGCAAAATGGCACAGTGTCCGTTGTTGGTCCGTTAGTCCGGACTAGCGGAAGTTTGCGCCTCTGTGTTTTTGCGAGTCGGCTGCTGCTGGTCGTCGTGTGAGTGGCGGGGCTGGCGGCCACTAGAACACGCCCGTGTGCGCGTGATTTAGGGCCTGGGGCGTGGCGGGCGGGGCGGGGCGGGGCGGGGCCGGGAGCCACGAGTGGCCGTGCGGCTGATTGGATGCATTCAGTCAACACTGTGCTGGTCACAGATCACGTGCACTTCCCCGGGGTGCGTTCCCCGCCCAGTGCCACAGCCACAGCCACAGCACACACCGACCGAGCGACCGCCATGCCACCTGTCGAAGGGGCGGCGGGGCCGCACGGCCGAATGCATCTCGTGGTTTGTGGACACAGTACAGTGTACGTGCAGCCCGCGCCACTTTTCACCTGTCCCGGCAGCGCACAGTGGGCCAGAAGGCCGGTAGAGCGTTTAGAGTTTTGGCCTTCTGGCCCACTGTGCAGCGGCTGCCTGGGAGTGAATTCGCCCCAGACTCCGCGGAAGGCACAACCTACGATGCCGCTGGCCAGACTGAAAGGACTAAAAG